GTACTCGTCTGCGGTTACGGAAATTTGGCGCGTTCAGGCTGGCGAAATTTTATGAAACCGATCCTGATGTGCCCCGACGAATAAATCTCGGTTCGGACGAGGTTCTTCCCCTTTAGGTTCTGCTCCGCCCCGTCTAGGCTCCTTCGGAAGAGGGAATTAAACTGTCGTTTTGTCCGTCTTAAAATTATTGCATAATCACGTCATCGTTATGTCATCTTTATCGTCTCTTTTGTGGTTTCAGATGCCGAGCCGAGTGGGTGGCTGAAACCCTACCGCTGAGAAAGAAAGGAAACTCCGACGTGAGGTCAGAGATGAGAAATGACACGAGCTGAATACGTTCGAACACAGAAAATCGTAAGTGATATCCTTAAGAGTTTTTCAAAAATACATCGTGAGGATTCCGTGATTCAAAATACAAATACATTGTATCTAAAGTACCATCAAGTGTTGCTGAAAGTGTTTAGCTGACCGTGTTTATGGTAGATCATACTGCCTTAAAATGGATTATCTCTCAAGCACGGAAATTGTATGCACAAAGTTTCTCTTTGCACCATCATTTCTCTAACTGTAGGGAGATATAAAGGTCGTATTTCTAGTTTTTCTTTGACAGCTCTTTTCATAAGTTCAAAAAAAAGGAAGGAAATTAGGCAACTTTTGATACTGTTCACTTTCTTTTTCCATGAGTGCGCAACTTACTCTGCGACACAGCACTCGTCAACAGTGAGCGCTGAGTAAGAGAAAAAGTAAAACGCCTTCATATCTGAGCGTGTGCAACGAGAATTGCCATGGAGCCCGAATAGTTGCATCCATCCAAGATTCCAGGGGTTGTACTGAGAGCTCTTGGATGCCTTGCAATGGACCAGTGGACAAGATACGCACTTGGGTAATTCTACGAAGACTGTCCAATTGGACCTCCCAAAAACTAAAAATTCAACTATGTTATTTTGGATTGAGAGTTGTTTTCCGTAGTTCAGCATAGTATCAGGCGTAAAAATTCTATACGAGTACCTTTTTTTATCAGGCATTTCTTTTCTTTTATGAGGAATTGTTTTAAAAATAGTTAAAAATAGATCCCGGATGTCACGACCGTCACATCGATTATTTTGGTCCATCCATCAGAAAGAGACAAATGGTCAAATATGCAGGTTTTTTTTTTTTTTTTTTTTTTTTTTTTTTACTGTTAGGTTTTATGAAGAAGTGAAACAACGAAAAATAGTGACCCAGTGTGCATGTTCATCATACAATAGCAAATTTTTTCTAATTTTTGCAGATTTTTCAGCTTTTTCTCGGAAAACAATAAACTTTTTCTAGATTTAAGGATAAAATGACTACATATTTGTTTTTCTAACTCTGAAAAAAGTGTGATGGTCGTGACATTTCCGTAACGATCGTGACATGATTCATCCATTTACAATTTTCGGTCATTCTATTAACGTCAATATATTACTTTATATATTACTTTATGCTTCCTACTCTCTTAGGAGCCCCCTCCCCCATATCGTATATCGTTACTTGGATCAAATTGGAACTAAAGTTTTGGCCAACAAATTTTCATTTGAAAATTGCACTAAGTGTACCTTGTATCTCGAGGATATTCAAAAATGCATGCTCGCGCATTCAGAAACTGCTTCGGCGATCACCTAATGAAACCGGAAATGCTCAATACTTTCGGGAAATAATGAGTGTTTCCGGTTCTCACCGGAAGTAACCAGGAATGATGAAAATTTCCGGCAATTATTCATTTCAATCACACCGCAAATCGCACGCCGCAATCACACGCTGAATTTGGCAACTGAATATGGAAGTCAACAGTCAGCATTCAACAGCTAAAATTCGTGTTGTTTTCATCCAGATGTGTATCAAATGTATTCGGAATCAATCGATGAGATATATCGCATGCCGTTTCGACAAAAAATATGGCGTCCATCTAATCACCTAGAATGAAAAAATTCCCAGGTTTTGATATTATTCATTCATTATTTCTATTGTCGCTAGTAGGCATAATCCACAATTCGGAAGAAAAATGGGGAAATACCTTCAGACAAGCTCGTTTCCACACCACCTTAGGAGAGCCCGATCAGGTACTGCTCCCGGAGGTAGAGCTTTCGGCGCGTTTTTTTTAACGTGGTATCGCCAAGAGCCCTAATCCACGGGGGAGGGAAGAGGGGAGAGGAGGGGAAGAGGAGAGAGGAAGGGAAGAGGAGAGGAAAGGAAAGAAAGGAGAGGGATGGAAGAGAGAAAACAAAATAAAACACTTACCAACGCTGCCGTAGCTCCATCCACTGCTCCATGTCGTTTTTGACACTGCCAAAAAAGAAGGTGTGCCCGCGGGAGACGGGAGTAGTGCCCTCCACAATTGATTAACGTGAACAATCAAAACGGTATCTTAACTTCGGTTGCGGGAACCAGCGGCAGCAGCAGCAGCAGCACCTGAAACAGAGAATACAAAAAAGAAAAGAAAGGAAAGAAAGGGAAAAAAAAAAAAATTCGACAATCCCGGTACGATGGCGTCCAGCAGCAGCACCTGAAACAGAGAATACAAAAAAGAAAAGAAAGGAAAGAAAAAAAAAAAAAAA